GTGGATGCTCCTGTTCTTTTGAGCGGTATCCCAGGATCTTTCAATACTGTGACACTGCTCAAAAGAACAGGGTGTCAGTTTAACGCCACATCTGAACCAACACCTGGGACAACGCAATGCAGCAGTGAGGGAGTGCTACAAAGTCAATGCAAATGACGTGTTCAAGTCTCTGAATCTATTTGAAGACAAGGTTTGCCCCATTCTGAAAATTAAAGGAAAATGTTAAGTTTTCTGCTACATTTTTTACATAAAACATCTTACCTTATATTAAAGTACAATTTTCTGTCAACATAATGCAATGATTTGTATCAAACCAAATCATCTCTTACTAATTATTTCTATTCAATAGGTATTCCAGCTGTCAACAAAACACAGAAGAACACTTGCCTCTTTTTTTGGAATATGATGTTTGTGCTCCATTCCTATCAGCTTTTTTTCTATTTTAAATTCTTGAGGCCGCAGTTACAATGAAAATGCCTTCAGCAAATTGATCACTCTAATGAGACACATAGCAACCCAGTGAAGGCACAGCATTTATCACTATGATGTTATACCTACAAATCAGGAGGGTTCTCCTGAATAACTGTCCATCTCTGTCTATCTCGAGCATGCCGATCATTTCCTTCAACTTTGAAAGTTAGTCAGTGGCCTTATGTTAGGCAACAGAGAGAGGTTAGTAACTACAGAGCCTACATGGGGAATGGGCTAGGGAACGATGATCCTCAGAGATTTTCTCTTTCCCAATTACTCATGCTTCCTCCATGTGCTTGTTTCTGTTATGTCCTCCATCATTTTGGTTTCTCATGGAACATTGGCTGTTCTCACTGCTATCACTTGAGTGTATTCAGTCAACCACTGTATCCTCCACGCCTGCTTGCTGTGTCATTATGCTCCTCATTCTCAGCATTCGGGGCATTCCCTCACTTTTACTCAAAAGTGTACAAGTTAAAAACCAGGGGCCTTTCCCAACCTTTTCTCCCTGTTTCTTTCAAAGGTCTTCTGCTTCAAAATGCGTTGTTAAACAAAAAAATCAACTTAGAATAAGGAATGACCTGGCTTGTTTACTGAAATAACACTCCATAGAGGCCAGTATCGCATCACCCAGTCTCCCTGTATTTACACATGTACAGCCCTTGACTCTAGTACTGCCTCTTCAGAGTCAGCTCTCAGTATCGCTGACACTGCCCTTTTTATCTGTCAGCCAGGGCTCCCTGATTAGACCTGAGTAACTGCTCCAATCAGGGAACTGATGTTCTATGAGGTCCAGCTGGCTGACCTCGTTACGATCATTCCATTTCCCCTTTCCTTATATCAGCATCACCACATGGCTTCGGGCCAATGGAATAGCTTGCAGGTATAGCATTTAGTAGCAGCTTTTTCTGTCAAGACATTAATGGAATTCAAAATTCTCTTCCCTCTAACTAAGTTTAAAACATTTTCTGAAAAGTTTAGAAAACGTAACAGCTGTTTCTGGTATGATACACCGTACACTATAAAGCAAAGAACATTTTCTTTCACAAGCACTTTGGGTGATTGGTGAGGAAACTCACCCACTGGAAATTTGCATAACAAATAGAGACACAGGGATTTAAAGTCCACAAAGATTGTCCCAGAAAAGTGCAATGAAAATAATAACCAGGAGAAACACTGTTCTGTAGACGAGAGACACACAAAAATGCAAGACCTTCTCAGTACGGCGCGGATATTGTGGATTTGTCATCGTAGTTTACTTACTGCACAGACAAAGCAGGTATCATGCCAAGTGTGGCCCAGTGCTTGAAGGAATTTATCTCCAGCCTCTATAGGGAAGTCACAACCATGGCAAGTAGTGCCAAATAAATTATAATAATCTGTGGAAGGAAAATATATACAAGGAAAAATGTTACGGAATTAATCCATCAGTAGTTTTTTTTTCAAATGAGCAAAATATAACACTTTGCCAGCAAAGCTGGACAGAACACAATGGCTGGGACCACACACTAAAGTTATTAGACTAAATCTCCTTTGCAGGTTCAAAAATACTTTGTTTTCCATTATATCTCAGTGAAAAAAAGATGGCTTTCAACTATGAATGGTTTACGGGTTTAGCCACATGTGGACTATACCACCGTAGTTCCCTCAAACAGGGGATGTACAGCCTAACCTCAGATTATTGAAATGACCTTCGTGTGCTCCACTGTAAGGATCATGAGGGAGAATTACCTTTTTCACAGTAAGGATCACCATCCTCCATATGGAAAATATTGTTGCGAATAGGTTGCTTGCAAGCCACGCACACAAAGCAGTTAACATGCCAAGTCTGCTTCAAGGCATTAATAATTTCCTGTGAGGCCAGAAGAAAAAAAAAACTAAAAAGTGAGAAGGAATGAGCAAGTCTGCAGACCTTATTTACACGGAGAGCAAAATACCTTAGGCACAATCTCTGTGACATAACCAGAAAGATTTCCAGCAACCACAATATCTCGTTGCATGTTGTAATAATCGTGTTGCTTCTGATCATCCAAGCGGGCAGCCCAAACCACAAGCTGCAGTAAACATTTCTCTAATCTTTCTCGGGACACAGCAACCTTTGTGAACTGCTGCAGTTTGTACGGTGTGCCACTGTTATCAGGAACATTTCTGATTTGCCATTTTAACTGGGACATCCAAACAGTTGTACATCACCCGTTTCAGAATTAACATAACAGAATGTAAGAAAGGCTTGCATTTACGTAGCACCTTTGAAAACCCCCATTTTGTTGCTAAGTGCTTCACAGCCAAGAAAGTACACTTGAAATGTCATTACTATTCAAGTGTAGGAAGCGTACAATAAATGCCCACAAACCAAAATATCATAATGATCAAGTAATCACCTGGAGTAAAGTGCACTGTTTTGGCATCCTTATTTTTGGAAAGATCCAATTGCAACAGAAGCAGTTTGGAAAAGGTTCACTCAACTCATTCCTGGGACGAAGGGCTCATCTTATGAAGAAACATTGAACAGTTTGGGCCGAAAGTCAATGGAGTTCAGAAAACAGAGAGGTGGTGTTATTGAAAACACATCAGGTTTTAAGGTGGATACCATGAGGATGTGACTTTTTATGGGTGAGTCTGAAACTAGGGGACGTAGTTTAAAAAGAACGGGTGCCCCCCTTTTAAGGCTCAGATGAAGGGAATTATTTATTCCCAGAGGGCGTTGGAGAGCGGAATTATTTGTCACAGAAGGTAGTGGAGATGTGGCCTTTAAATTTAGTCAAGGTGGAGAAAGATAGAGAGGTTTGAAAGACGAGGGATTCAAGGATTCTCCAAGGACGCGTCAGACAGAAAAGTGGTGAGACCACAACCAGATCAGCTATGCACTTGATGAATGGAGGGGCTGAATGGCCCACTCCTGCTCCCGTGCTTTTTCTGGAGAAAATCATACTGAATGATAATACATCTCGTACTCTTCTTTGAAGTTCCTAGACTAGTAATATATCGTTAAGCTCATACAAAAAGGGTTAATTGTTTACTTCTCTGACGCAAACAAGTCAGAGCACTAACAGGATCCAATAAACTTGGCTACAGAAACAGAGAAATGGCAATCTTTACAATTTCACAACTTACTCTTTTCACACAATTTACTCTTTTCACAATTCACACTTTTCTCACTAGTCGTGTAGCATACAAACAAAATCAGGAACGGGGTAGTCCACACAGCCTCTAACAAAAGCGCAGTCCTGTGGGACCACAGTGACTTTACTTTCAGAGTCTGATAGGGAAACCTTCCCTACCTGTGAGACATTCCGTGCCCACTGTGCAAGGGAAGCAACACGAGTCACAAAAAAAAGTACATTCACATGGAGCAAAAAGACCAGTATGGAGTTGTTGGACTGAATGGCCTATTTCCCAGTTATAAACAGTATATAACATAGTATGGTTAGTCATGACTTGTCCTCATATCCACCCGACTCCAGTTTCCATGTAGTTAAACATGAATTTGGATACCAAGTTGAACAGCTAGAATGACAAGCTTCCATCTGGAATTTATTGATCCTTTAACCTAAACTTTTAACACCTAGCTACACAGAAGCATAACTTTTATTTAATTCTGAGTTAGCAGCTTGTGAAGCTCACGTTTCAATCTGGAATCTAATCAATGTTTTCAAACTGAACCTCTTTCCGAATCTACCTTAAATACTTAAGTGCGAGAATGGCTGACTTATTTTTTGTGTCCATAACAGAGTAGTCACTTGTGGACAAACTAAATTTCTGCATGGCCTCACACATCGCTGTCACGGTAATCTCTTCCTCCCCAGAACCCTTCGAGATACCTGCATTCCTTCATTACTGGCCTCCTTTGCCAATCTTTAATTGCTATCCCATTGGAGGCTGTGCCTTCAGCTCTCAAAGTTGTTCCTTGAACCTCTCCGTCTCTCCCATCGCTGTTGGTGCCAACTTAAAGCTTACTTCTTCAGCAAAGCTCTGGCCATCCTTTCCTAATTTATCACCGTTTGTGGCTCAGTATTGAATTTTTATTTGTTAACATCCCCACAAATGACTTCAGGAGGTCTTGCTGCATTAAAGCCATTATATAAATGCTAATTGTTGCACATTTGTTGGCCAAAATGAGCACGACAAATTCTCCGCATATTTACTGGTGAAAATTAACACTTCTCTGGCTCACAGACGGGTAATGGGAATCAAGCAGGGAAAGGAATCACAAGAACTAAAGTTTCATCCAGTTCACAGCCTTCCCCATCCTTGTCACCTGCTCACTCCCTGTTTCTAATAACCTTGGATCCGAGAGAGAATGGGGCTCTTTCATGGAAGGAAATTTCAGCTTGGCTGCTAGCCACACAATCCATCCACAGCCTGAGAAGTGAGATCGGAAAGATCAACATCAGCGATAGAATTCCATGGGAGACTCCGGCTGTGGTCCTGAAATCTGGAAAAAGATGGCAGCCAATTGCTTCCCAAAGTCCAGAAAGCATTCTTCTGGCACGACCTAAGGGGCGATATCTTGGGTTGGTTCCATCTGGGATTTCTCCATGTACACCAAAGAGACCAACTTTCCACTTGGAATTCTGCATGCTTTCTCCTGATCCCTTTCCTGGAACCAGACAGATTGCTGTCCATCTGGATGAGCGCTCTCTGATTATCAATATGCTGCTATTACCGGAGACAGGATGAAAAGGTAGAAAAATGTATCACAATTGCAGCACATATTTGTAAGACATATACATTCACCAGAGATTGGAATTTGGTACGTAAAAGATCTCAGTGGTTCCAACAATAATGCTATAACACAACCCTGATCCATCTGGGCACACTGATTGACTGACTGTGGATAATGAGAATGTTTAGAGTTTTACTTTTTGTTTTCATGGATACAGTCCAGATCTTTGAGCTTTCCAATCCCATGATCTTTGAGGAGAACAAGACTTTTGGAAGACAGGATCTTTGGCGACAGATTTCCAGTTCAAATTCATTCTTTTAGGTTGAAACAAAATGCTAAGGGATAGCTTCAATCTCACAATGTTCCCAGAATAAACTTATGAGAAGGGGCTTATTTGATCAACAACCTCTGTTTGATTGCATTTGACTTAATTACTGAGAATCAATAATTTCAGCTACATCTTCCTCCCAAGATCAAGGAGACAAAAGAAACCAGACAGTTGGAATGGAATGGCGGATATATTGGATAGTTTTCCACACACTCATTTTAAATATGTAAATTAATTTCTTAACCTTGGACCTGAACAGAAGCTGTCTCACCAAAGGAAGGACATACTTGCATGAAGCAGGGGACAACAATGGCTATTCCTCACTTAGGCACATTACAGCCCCTCTCAACATTGAGTTCAATAACTTCAGACCATGAACTGTCATCTCAATCCCCTACAGCTCCCTTGTGTCCAGCTTGCTGATCTGTTTTTTGCTATTAACACCCACTATTTAGTCTATATCTTTTCTCTGTTATCATTAGCGGTCCCTTTGCCTTTTGCTCTGGGCCACCTATACCATCTATTATGCTTACTCCTCCACCTCACCGTAACCAACTTTTTCAACAGCATTAAACCCACCAGTTTTCCAGTCCTGAAAAAGTTATATTGGGCTGGAAATGTTAATTGTCTCTCTCTTTCTCATAGACTGCCAGATCTTCTGAGTTTCTCCAGTACTTTCATGATATTAATTCCTGGGATGAATAGGTTGTGCTGTGAGGAGCAATTGAGTGGAATGGGTCCAAACACTCTTGAGGCTGGAAGAATGAGAGATTTTCCCTCACACTGTATACAATTGTTTAAAGGCCTGATAAGAGATCTTATTCACTCAAAAGGTCATGAATCTTTGGGATTCTTCACGCAAGGTCTCTGGATGCTCTGTTAGGGATATTCAAGAAGTTTTCATAGAGTCATAGGGATACATAGCACAGAAACAGACCCTTCAGTCCAACTTGTTAAAGCTGACCAGATATTCTAAATTAATGTAGTCCCATTTGCCAGCATTTGGCCCATATCCCTCTAAACCTTTCCTATTGAAGGACCAATCCAGATGCCTTTTAAATTTGTACCAGCCTCCACCACTTCCTCTGGCAGCTCATTCCATACACTCACTATCCTCTTTGTGAAAAAGCTGCCCCTTAGGTCCCTTTTATATCTCACCTTAAAGCTATGCCGCCCTAGTTTTGGACTCCCCAACCCTGGGGAAAAGACCTTGGCTATTCACTCTATCCATGCCCCTCATGATTTTATAAACCTCCATAAAAGGTCACCCTAAGCCTTCAACACTCCAAGTAAAATAGCCCCAGTCTATTCAGCTTCCCCCTATAGCTCAAACCCTCCAACCCTCTCAACATCCTTGGAAATCTTTTCTGAACCCTTTCAAGTTTCACAACATCCTTCCTATAGCAGGGAGACCAGAATTGAATGCAGTATTCCAAAAGTCTTGAGCAATGACCATGCAAGGAAAGGATTGTTTTTGTGCATCCACATTTAGCTAAAAAAATGGCACATCATTAGATCTCCAGAGCAGTTGCGATTTCAAAATGCAACAAGATGGAGTGGTGGTGGATGGTTGATAGAAAGGGTCAGTTTACATTGCCAGAAATATAGAACAACCGTTCGCCTGAATACAAAAACTCAGGAGGTTTTAGTGCAACTGGCTCAGTCAGGACGGTGCCTTCCATACTATTGATTTGCTAGGATCAGCATCTTAAATAACTTACCCCCAGGATCTTCCTCTGGCATCGGGCACATTCAGGGGCAAAGAATTGCTCGTAGCACTTCTCACAATACACAGACCCTTTCTCTTCCACAAAGCCAATGTGGGCAAGGGATAGACTACAATAGGCACATGTAAACTCTTCAGGGTGCCAGGAACGACCCATTGCCACAAGGAAAGGACCTCTGTCAGAACAAACACACCAAGGGATCACTATACAAACAGAAACAAACAAAGCTACTTCTCAGAAAAGCATAGAAAAAGAAACAACATTACAGCAAGATTTCTGGTCTTCTCAGAGATGAAATAGTAAGTGAGAAGTTTGTAACCAATGTTTCTGCTCAAACCTTCTCAAGTGTAGGAAGGAAACCCTCACTTCTCTTTGGAAGAAAACCGATCTCTAGCAGGCTTCCTTTGTCCAAATGTTGGTGCTGATCAGGTTTGGATGAAGAGGAGATGAAGTCGAGTGAGAAACCCAGTTAAGGTGTAGCATCAAATTAAACTCATACACATCGGTGAGCATTTTATCACAAGGATAGTGCATAAATGGACAGAGCTACCCCTTCAGAGTGAAGGCCTTGACATAGGGCATGAAGGATACTCACTTTAGGATTTTAATTCTGAAGTATTTGGCAGAGGATTCTCTTTTCAGCTGGAAGGTGACGGGTTGTTTTATTTACTGAAAAGCGAATAGAGGAAGAAACCTTTCATCCAATTTAACAAATACTGATATATCAGAATGTAGAGAGTCTAAAGTTGCAAAGATTAGGCTAATTAACACTCTCTCTGCTTGACACAGGCACAATGGAGGAAATGGCCAGCTTGTGTGTGTGGAGTAGACGGTGACATAGAGTTAATGTCACTGAACTGCTGGAAAACCAACATGGGACATGGTGAAATTTGAAATCAACAAAAATCTGGAATAAATAGCTGGCAAATGGTGACCGCATAACGCATTGTGTTAAAAAAAAAATTTGGTTCATTAATATCCTTTAAAGAAGGAAATCTTCTGTTCCTACTTGGTCCACCCTAGTCGTGACTCACAGCAACGTGATTAACTCTTAACTGCTCTCTGGGCAATTAGGGATGGGCAGTTACTGTTAGCGATGCCCACATCTGATGATTTTTTTAAAAAAAATCTCCGTGTTTGCTTTACTCCTAAGAATAGATCATTCATCTTCTTGAACCATTCTTCCATTCAAATTGATCAATGACTGCTGTGCATCTTAACTCCACCTACTGACCTTGGTACCTTACATTTTTTTGTTAGGTGTTGGTAGCTTTGAAATTTTCAAACAAATTGCAGCCTGACAAATTCATTTTGCAGACGCTGAGATGAGACAGTTTCAGATTTCCACTGTTTGGTTTTATAGATTTCTAGAGGCAAAGCCCCTGACTCTCTAAGGTCAACATGTTTCATCTCATTAAAAAAAATGTTTAATTGAGGCCAGTGTCCTTTCACTTCACTCCATGACTTAAATCGATACATTGAAATTAAACTGAATACCAGGGCATCTACATATCACTACACACAATCGCAAGACAGTCCATACTTTGGATGTAGGGATGGCAGAGTTGGCTTCCTATTACAGCTGTAATGTTACAATTGTAAAGCAAAGTTTGAAGGAAGGGTTAATGGAATGAGACAAACACATCCATTCACGTTCTATGCTTGTGATACCCTGATCATGTTCAGAAGGCCATTATCTAACATGAACATTCACTTCAGATATTAATTAGCCTGTATCACTTGTACACCGGCAAATTTGTTAATCGCTCGCCCAAATCTTAAACACCTCATCCATTATTCAACAAACAATCCACTGTGTGACATAGCTGCCAACTGCAATATTTCTGCAGGCCCTCTCCTGAGTCATAACGCCGAGGAGATAGCATTGCACTCAGCACAGAACAAGCTTCACAATCTTATGCATTTTTAAGCTGCAGGTATTTAGTTGCAGATGAAAATGGGAAGCACTGAAATGAGATTAGGATTCGCGAAATGAGGGTGCTGCAGTGGACGCTAAATATAGATGTGAAATGAACGCATATTACTGTCAGTTTAAAAACAGAGCAGGAATTGAGCTGGTCTACGTGGATTAGAGATGATGGGTCTGCAAAAGATTGCGGATCAGGACACCTTGAATCTGTCCATCCTCGTTGATGGCAAATTAAAGTCTTGACCGAACCTGACACAGCCACCACCTCACTACGCCAGGGCTGCTATTCAAAACACGAGTTCTCTACATTTGTAAGTGAACCATTAAGTGAGTAAAATTTAACACAAGAACTAGGAGCAGGAGTAGGCCATCTGGCCCCTCGAGCCTGCCCCGCCATTCAATAAGATCATGGCTGATCTTTTTGTGAATCAGCTCCACTTACCTGCCTGCTCACTACAACCCATAATTCCCTTACTGTTCCAAAATCTATCTTTGCTTTAAAAACATTCAACGAGGTAGCCTCAACTACTTCACTGGGCAGGAAATTCCACAGATTCACAACCCTTTGGGTGAAGAAGTTCCTCCTCAACTCAGCCCTAAATCTGCTCCCCATTTCATAGTTTTAAACCAAACAAGTCTCGCCTTCCAGACTGACAACGGCTAAAGCCTTTCTCATTATACTCACCAATTCAGTGGGTGTGATCACGTGATCAGTGTCAATTTTAAAAAGGGGTCTGTTTCCAACTACTAGATCACTATAGATTTGTGTAATTAATACAACATGCTGTCAATTGAACAAAGCTGCCTCTTCTCCAGGCTAATAAATAGATCATGTCACCCTCAGCTTGGAAGTGGAGCAGTCAGATCAAATAAGGCTGGTTCAGCGTAATTACAGTTCATGCCCTTCTGCCACTGTTCTGTGGGCTGCAGAGTGCTATCAAATGGCAGTCTTCATTTTACACCTGTTTCATTAAAGCGATGTTGTACTGTAAACCAAACTGCAACCCTATCCATGAACATAAATTACTCTCCCTCTCCCTCTATATATAATTATACAAATATACATTTTGTTTTTAAATAAGGACTTCACAAAATCAGAATTCCAATGTCACACTACTGTTTAGACATTTGTTAAATTCCTGCTCTGGTTGACTAATCTGCCTCTCCATCGGCAGTTGCTGCCTCTCCTGTTTCCGGAAGATTCCCCTGAATGGGACCACAGTGGATGTATGGAGGTTTGGAAATCAATCCTACCTGGCAAGGAGAGCTTTTCCTCTTTAGTAACAATACTCTGCTAATAAACCAACTGGTTTGTTGCCACAGTGAGAGGTGAGCTATTTGTTGTACATAAGGGCTCGCTTTGTTAGACAGCTGAGCAGCTGAAAGGAGCCCTGATGTCAGGAGGTGCTTGTAGCTTGTAACCCTATCGCAGGGTGAGGTCTAGACTGCCAGCTCTGAGCAAGGGAAGACCCCAGATCCCCAATCAGTTTTAGGCCCAGCATCTGTAATCTGTGCAGAACAGATCAACTCCGCCTCTGCACTGGCTGTGTTTTAAGCCAACAATGTGTGTGTCGACACCACACCCATTTTTAAGCAGTTACCTAATTTTAAGTGTCCACATCAGCACCTTTCCCAAAATTTAAATTTAAGATAGTCACCAATAAGCTGCAAAAGAAACTCAGGAGAAACGTCTTTATCCAGAGAGTGATGAGAAGGGGTAGTTGAGGCAGAAGGCAAAGACACATTTCAGGAAAGCTGGATGAATATGGGAACTAGAGTAGGCCATTCAGCCCCTTGAGCCTGTTCCAATATTCAATGAGAGGACGGCTGATCTGTGGCTGAACTCCATACACCTGTCTTTGGCACATAGCCCCTAATACATTTGCTTAGCAAAAACTTATCCATCTCAGATTTAAAGTTGATGCCTGATCTAGCATCAACTGCCATCCATTTTCCTAACCTCTCCCACCCTCTGTGTGCCAAAGTGCTTCCTAACATCTCTCCTGAATGGTCCGGCACTAATTCACAGACTGTGCCTCTAACTCTAGAATCCCCAACCAGTGGAAATAGTTTTTTGTTATTTATCCTATATTTTCCTGTTAACACCTTGAAGACTTCGATTAGATCACCCCTTAACCTTCTAAATTCTAGTGAAAACAGGCCTAATCTCCTCATAACTTAACCCCTGAACACAGGAGGGACAGAGGAATGGGTAACTTTGTTGTTAGGGCTGTGGAGAGACTTGGGTACAGTATTAGTGCTGGTACAGAGCAGTTCTATTTATTTCAAATACAGCGCTCATTTAATAAAGAGTATCCCCTTTGGCTTGTCTCGCTACCTGATTATGGAATTGCAGTGAGCACACATGGGCGTCCTGTTGCCAGCTGGGATATGCTCGGCCATCTGAACCAGTGTGTTATCATCCTGCGGCTCTGGCTCGCTTATCACGACGCTGGCTGCCTTCGAGTTGGAACCCCAGCCAGATGGACCTGCCGGTGATACCTGGGCAGTGGGGAGTACGGTCTTGGGGGAGCTGTTGGCTGCAGATTGACACAAACACAAAATTATATCTTTCATAAAAAACATACGAATCAAAGTCATTGCAATAATTAAGGGGAGGTAACGGGGTGGGGATAATGTCACTGAGGTAGCAATCCAGATAAATATTCTCGGGACATGATTTTGAACCCCACCATATGGCAGATAACGGAATCTCCACTCATCTGGAATTGAAGACAGTCAGCCTGATAGTGCTACATAACGACCGTCAATTGTTGTACAAATCTATCTGGTTCTGAGGAAGGGTCACCGGACCCAAAACGTTAACTCTGTTTTCTCCTTCACAGATGCTGCCAGACCTGCTGAGCTTTTCCAGCAACTTTGTTTTTGTAGCTGGTTTGCTAATCCAGCATCCACTGCCATCTAAGGAAGAGAGTTCCAAATCTCTCCCACCCTTTGTGTGTGGAAGCGCTTCCTAACATCTCTCCTGAATGGCCTGGCCCTAATCCTGAGACTACGCCCCGTAGTTCTAGAATTTCCAACCACTGGAAATAGTTTATTGTTATCTACCCTGTTGGTCCTTTAGGGAAGGAAACTGCCATCCTTACCCGGTCTGGCCTACACGTGACTCCAGGCCCGCAGCAATGTGGTTGGCTCATAACTGCCCTCTGGGCAACTAATGATGTCTAGCCAGCAACACCGACTTCCACACGCAAATAATATCAACAGGGATATCGGAAAACTACAGTTCAATCAATACAGTTGGAGCACCTAAATTTAAATGCCGCTGACAAGCTTAGATGAAAAGGTGATGCATAATTTATTCATTCAACATATATTTTACACAACATCAAGGTGAGGAACATCAGTGCTGCAATGGGCGGGTTGCCCTTCGAGGAGGCATCGCATACAATGGGCCCAGACTCACTGGGATTCACAAGAATCGAGATCTGTGATCTCATTAAAATCAATTAAGATCGACTGGAGTTTGACAGGGTAAATGCTGAGAGGTTATTGATCTCTGTTGCTGAAGACTTAGGAAGACATGGCCATAGTCTTTGGATAAGGGACAGCCATTGAGGACTGAGAGGATAAAAAGTTTCTTCACTCAAAGGACAGTGTTTCATTTTAATACATTCTTGACCACTGAGATCTGTCAATACTCAGTCAATGAGTATATTCAAGACTGACACGGATTGATTTTTGGACAATTAAGGGATTATGAGGATAGAGTGAGAAAGCAGAGTTGAAGATGACAATCAGGCATGTTTTTATTAACGGGAGAAGCAGGGTCCTTGAGCCTGCTTTTGTTTCTTCATTTCTTACCAACGATTTCCACAAAACTCAAATTAAGCATTAGGCGCAAAACTGAACCATAATCAAGCACAGGAGGCCATTCAGCCCATTTAACCTCTGACAGTTCTTGCAAGAAGAATTCAACAAGTCCCACTCCTTCCCTAGTAGAATTCAACCAGTAAAGCTGTCTTGTGTGAAAGGTACACATATTTCAACTGCTAGCATACTAAAATGCTGGTATTTATTCTGACCTCAACCATCCCTGTGAACTATTTGAGAAAAACTAGAGTGGCATGGGAGAGATTGCAGCTAACAGGAGTTCACAGGGAATGCAAACATGGATATCATCAGTTTTCTTCACTGTATAATGAAAGCAAAATATTGCAGATGCTGGAAATCTGAAATAGAAACAGAAACAGAAAGGGATGGAAAAACTCAGCAGGTCTGGCAATAAATGGGGAGAGAGAGAAAGCGTTAACATTTGGAGTCCAACATGACTGCTCTTTGGAATTGAAGAAAGGTGGAAAGTTAATGGGTTTTATCGTGTAAAAAGTGGTGGGGGTGAGTAAGTGGAACAGAAGAGAGGGAGGGTCAGGGGGAATTTACAGATAGCAAGAAGATTAGCGATCACAGATGTCACAGAACAATAGGCAAATGGAGTCATAATATATGCAGAGAAGAAAGTTGGGGTCCAAAGTACGTGTTAATAGCAGAAAGTAGGTCAGTTCTGATAATAACAAAACCATGAAAATTGGACATCGAAGGGGGAGGTTCAGAAGAAATGTGTCAAAGTGGAGTTCAGAGTTCACGGTCTGATGTTAGTGAATTCAAGGTTGAGTCCAGAACTTTGTAAATTGCCTAAGTGCAAAATACAGGCTGTTCTTTTAATTTACGTTGGGTTTCACTGGTACATTTCTCACAACCCTGGGTCAGACCACCTCCCTCTTCAGCTGTGAAAACTCATATCAGACTTAAAACATTCAGGCTGTTTATTCTCTCTGCAATTACTGCTGAGTTTCTTCTACACTTTGATTTTATTCTTTCACTTTGGTCGAGGTGTCAGACAAAGGAACTTTCACCTCATTTGCAGATCCAAATGGACTGGAAACTAAACCACTCTGCTTTCTCAGCCTTAGACAACAGCTTGGAAGCTTCAAGTAGCTGTTCACATAAGGAGCTGCAATGCAAATATTCAAATACTACATGTGCAGATTTTTGCATTTTGATAAATTCTCTTTTAAAAGTTCCCTGCCTCAGACCACACTCTCAAGGTGTAACAGTCCGGGTCCTAACTGCTCACTGTGTTAAAACAAAGGCTTTTCCTCATCTTGCCATTGCTTCTTTAGATCAGCATCTATTTGTTAACCACACTCTGGGCAATCAGAGCATTTCCCCCCCATCTACCCCTTTCCAGACCGCTCAGGATTTTAAAAACCTCCGTCAAATTTCCTCTGAATTTTTCCTCCAAGGACAACAGCCTGGATTCTCTGATTTATCCACCAAGCTGAAGGATCTCTCACAAATCCTTTCTATGTCTTCTCTAATGCCTTTACATCTGCTTTAAAGTGCAGTGCCCAACACTGGGCACAAAATTCCAGCGTTTTATAAAAAGGAGCAAGTAGGGGAGAAAATGGACAGATGAAATTCTCAGCTAAATAAAAACCAAAAGAACTGTGGATGCTGTGAATCAGGAACAAAAACAGAAATTGCTGGAAAAGCTCATCAGGTCTGGCAGCATCTGTAGAGAGAAATCAGAGTTAACGTTTCGGGTCCGGTGACTCTTCCTCAGAACTATGTTGAAATTCGCAGCTGCTCAGCTAAGGGACACAGAAACTCTACAGTTAAAGCAGAGGATGCCAAAGTGAGGGATAAATGCATCCTTATACTCTCTGAGATCTTGTTTAGAAGAAATAAGAGGCCACCTTATTGAAGCGTATAAGATTCTTAGCGGACTTGACAGGGTAAATGCAGAAAGGTTGTTTCCCCTTGTGGGAGAGTCTAGGAGCAGGGGGCATCATCTCAGAGTAAGGGGTCACTCATTTAGAATAGCGATGAGGAGGAATTTTTTCTTTCAGAGAGTGGGGAATCTGCGGAATTCTTTACCACAGAGGGCCGCAGTGGATGGGTCCTTAAGTGTACGTAAGACTCTGATTTTTAATCATTATGGGAATCAAGGATCATGGGGGAAAAGCAGGAAGGTTTGGGTGAGGATTATGAGATCAGTTGTGCTTTCTTTGAATAGTGAAAGAGACTTTGAAGGGCCAAATGGTCTAATTCTGCTACTATGTCTCATGGTCTTTGATCATTTGGTGATTAACCACCAAAAGAAGAGTTTGGGCCAATTCATGGTTGGGACACTCATAAAAGGGGGATATTACTTATTGTTTTGAATTTTCATTGTATTGAATTCATTATTTTTATTAAAATCGCAGAGGTAGATAGATTCTGGGGCCGGTTAGCTCACTTGGCTAGATGGATGGTTTGTCATGCAGAGTGAGGCCAACGGTGTGGGCTCAAAGCCAAAAGGTGTGTGAAGGGCTCTCCTTCTCAACCTCTCCCCTCACCCGAGGCGTGCTGACCCTCAGGTTAAACCACCACCAGTCATCTCTCTCGCTCCAATGAGACAGCAGCCTTAAGTTCTGGGAAGACTATAGTGTCTTCACCCTTTCTTTTGAAAAACTTTTAGATAGATTCTTGATGAACAGAGGAATCAAGGATTGTCAGAAGGTGAAGCCACAACCAAGTCAGCAATGATTATATTGAATGGTAGGACAGGTTCGAGGGGCTGAATGGTGTTATCCTGCTTTTCTTTTATTTGTTCAGACAAAATCAACATCTTCTAGTTTCACAAAGGTTGTTGGGTGGGGGGATGGGGAAAGTAAGTCAAAACTGGCTGTAAGTTGTATCTTGAACCAACCTCAAAAGTACATGCGGCAGAAAATATCACCAGTGGTGAGCTCACAAACTAGACAACTATACCTACCTGAAAAGGTCTGGCCAAGCAGTAGCAGAAATAAGAACACAGGAAAATACAAAGAACAACTTATTTCTTTGAGAAAACATAGCAGCCCCTTGAAGCCATGCCAGATAGGTTTTTAGATAAACTACTTTAGAAGTTAAAAAAAGTCACTTAAAGTAGTCAAACTTCAGGATAATTATTAGCAATCCCTTTCTGCACCTGTCAAATTTGACAGCTCCAAGTAAAAATCGACATTGCCGTGAGGTTTAACACAGGACAACAGCAGCTCCTTTGTCTGCTGGGTCATTTGGAGCATCGTCTATGCTTCATCACCACTAGTGGATCTTCCTCCCATACATACACACTTGCCAACTTTAGTCTTCACAGGGATGAAGTATTTTGATTTAAGTTTAGATTCCCATCAAAAGGAAAACGAAGCAAAAATATATTTTAGTTATATCCTACCACAGAGGAGGCCTTTTTATTATTTATTAAGGAACTTAAAAGATGCCCCTGTCCCAGCGTGATATTCCACCAGGTTTTCTGAGTACAAACAGGTGAAGCAATTTTTTTAAAATTCATTTCGTGGGACATGGGTGACACACCATGGCCGGCACTTTTTGACTGTCCCTAGTTGCCCTTGAGAAGGTGGTGGTGAGCTGCCTTCTTGAACCACTGCAGTCCAAGTCCTGTAGGTTGACCCACAATGCCCTTAGGGAGGGAATTATTCCGGGAGTATGACGATGTCAGGCTGTCGCTTGATTAGTCTGTGAGGCAACTTGCCCA